TATATATATATATATCTCCCAGGAAATCCTGTTTTTAACACTGCACTGGGACTTCTTAATTCCTGTAGTTTATTGCTTGCATTAGCTAGAGATCCTTCAATTCCCTGTACATATCTAATTTTCATGGCTGAAGTCTAAGAAACTGGTCCATTATTACATCTTATGAATAGCCAGATTTTTAAAGTTTCCCCACAGTTTTTTTTTTATCTTTTTCTAATATATTGTTCCTCTTACATAACAAGAACTAGGAAGTCCCAGCAAGCAGATTTCATTGGGTGTAATGCATTACCAGAAACATGATCACATGTGAACACATCCTCCGTCAACACAAGCATTCACTCAGGGCAGACCAGCCATGGCCCAGACACACATACATGTGCAAATGTACAACTGACAGCAAATTATTTCAAATCCTAATGTCCTCTGAATATTAAAAATGAGCTGAGAGAGCTCTTGTGACATTTAGTATGAAAATTTTACACTATTTTCACGATGAAGTAGTTTCATATCACATCTCGTGAGTTTCGTATTGCACAGCAAAGGACCATGCTGAATATCATGCCAAAGATCTGAAATACAAGGAACCACTCATTAGTGACTTTCAAATATGTATTATTTGATAAAAAGGTGAGCAACTGCCAAGGTCTCTAATTTAATAAATGATTATAACCAATAATTATTGGTTGTAAAATAGCATTTTTATATGTTCATTAAGGATGGCACTGTGTAAAGATTTCATTATTAACTCTGCTTAAAATGCTTTACTATCTTATTATTGTTAACAAATAACGAGGCTTTGTTTTAAGAAAAGGGCCCTCTTTCTGGCTTATAAAACAGTTCTGAATTGTTGTAAAATACAGATATACTACTGGTTTTGGAATTTAATATTTTTGAGGTTAATCCCAGACCTCATATAGTCATTTCGAACAATGTATTCATAACTTCCTGTTGTTTAAATGTGCTTATAGTAGAAATCATCTTCTATTGTCAGAAAAGCTTTGAATTCTTATCACAATGACCACATATTCAAAAGTGGGGCATCTATTCATTTCTGGTCCATTTCTAAGTGCAAATGATACTTCACTGGTTAACTCAATAGTTTTACCAACACATAAACTGAAGTGTCTGAACTACGGCATTCCTGACTTCTACCTTTTGGATGGCTCTCTGAGTAGCCAAATACTTGGGTGACATCACCCTCCATCTCCATGGTTTGAAAGGAAGCATGACAAAAGCTCCTTGTTCATTTCAGTCACCTGCCCTGAACTTTTGCAGAATCTGTTTGTGCTACTTTAAAAAATTTGCACCACAACTCTTTGATTTTTCTCCTGTTTTTGTTTTTTTTTGTTATTGGTACCAGGGATTGAACTCAAGTCCTTGCACTTTCAAGGCAGGTGGTGGAACCACTGAGCTAAATCCCCAGCCCTTGATCTTCTCCTCAATCCCACCCTCAATCAGACTAGGATCTGTGACGACTAAGTGCAGCAAGGTGTAAACTGTTCAGTTGTTCTAGAAAGGATGTAGCGGAGTAAAGTAAGGGCATAGCCAGGAACAACAGTACTTCAGGCTCTGGCTGACACAACTCAGTGCTAGTGTGTGGCAGGGGAGACACCTAATGGACATTTGGTTAACTGATCATACTGTGCAACCTGTGCCTTATTGAAAAAGAACTAAAGAAGAAACTCTGAAGGTGTGGATCCAGACAGCCAACTTAGGTATTCCCCCTTTAGCATGTGTTACAGTTTGGATCTTAAATGTCCTTGAGAGGCTCATGTCTAAAAGGACAGTCCCCAGATGTTGGTGCTTTTGGGAAATGGTGGAACGTTTAGGAGGTGGGGCCTAGGAGAAGGAAATGAAGTCACTGGGGGTGGGTCTTGAAGGGGATTCTGGGACCCTAACCCCGCCTGTCTTTTACTTCCTGGACACCATACTGTTACCGATTTTACTCTGCTATGTGCTTTCCACCACAGTGTGCTTCCCCTTACGATGTTCTGTCTTGCCCCTGGCCCAAAGCAACCAGAAGGGGCCACAGACCGAAATCTCCGAAACATTGAGCCAAAACAACCTTTCCTTCTTTTACATTATCTCAAGTATTCTGTCACAGTGTCAGAAAGCTTATGCACCATGTTGTAAGGCTGCTTATGACCCCTACCTCCTCCTGGTTGTCCTCTGAGGGGATCACTCCGAAATAAAACTCTTTAGTCTCAGCGGCCGCCACCATGAATCAGGGGTGACTGCTTCTGGATTTCCTTAGTTGAAACTGTAGGATTGTTAGGAGGATCTATTTGATGCTTTGGTTACACAGAATGTTCTCAACCTTCCTGCCTCAGGACTGTCCTGGGGAAGTTGCAGAATTGCAACTAGGCTAGCTCCAGAGCAGGTGGAGAGGGCCTGGGGGATATCCTTGGACTCAGAGGTCCTCAGCACCGTTCCACACTTCTGTGCTCTGAATTCAGAAAAGGACCCAGTGCTGGGGCCCCTGCGAAGTACCACTTCATGGATTTCCTTCTCATTGTCATAGTCCTGCCTCAGTGCAGGCCGCGGGCTAGCCTTACAGAAGACTAGAGAGTAAGCGCCATCTCACCGTCAGCATCAGCCAGCCTCTGGACAGTGGAGATCACCTCTTCACTAGCCTCTTTTCCTCCATCTGGCCTCATTCTAACCCTTCTTCGATTCTGCACGTCAGGTCTTTCTAGCCTTCCAATACTTCTGTCTGAGGATTAAGCCCAGCCTTTCAGAAGGGCAGACAAAATCCTCAGCCATGTAATCTGACATCTCCTCCAGTGCCATCTCTTGCCACTCCTGCCACACCTTTCTGTGGCCATCTATTCTTCCCATCCTCTTCTTTTGTACTTTAGAAGTACTGAGCCACCTACAGGTGCCTGGTACACTATGCTTCGTGCCTTCCACCTGCTATTTCCATCACCTGGATTTGGGTTTGGGAACACTGAAATTACACAGAGAGCTGGTATTTATTGGGTGTCATGTGTCCTAGATATTTTCTATGAATTAATTTGTAACAATAATGTATAGGCAGCATCCCGTTTAATTTTCACAATGATCTTAATCTGGTATCTTAAGAATCTTAGTTTAGTCAGGCGTGGTGATGGATCCCTTTAATCCCAATACTCTGAGAGGCTGGAGCTAAAGGATTGCAAATTTGAGTCCAGCCTTGGGCAACTCAGTGGCTGAGAGAGACCTTATTTTAAAATAAAAATTAAGAAAAGGGGAGACGTAGTTCAGTGTAAGAGCCCTGGGTTCAATCCCAAGTACCACACATAAAAAAACTCCCATTTTATAGAAGAGGAAACTGAGGTACAGAGAAACTGAGATGCATTCCTGCAAACTCAGGTCTTGTAAGTAGTAGGGCTAGGAAATGAATCTAGATCTTGTGATGCCAGAGCTTAACTAATCACCATGCTACGCTGCCTCTTCAAATCATAGGTTAACCTGAAATATTATTTTGAATTGAAAAATCACTTACCTGTATTAAGATTGGTGGACTTAAACTGAGAAGTGATAAGGTCAAAGTTATAATTATGTCAGCACTGAAATTTATAACCATATTTCAGAGGACTAAGATTGATGGGTTTAATTATCTTTGCTCTTAGAAGATGTACTGTGAACAAATGTCTTTATCCTTTAGGAAAATTTTCTCTTGAAATAGTGCTATCTCACATGCAGAAAAATCATGTGCAAAAGTTCAAGGCTTCTGAGAGGGCAAAAAAGTTAAGTTCTGGAATTTCCTCACCGTGAGACCTGCAACTCCAATACCGACAATTCCGATGAGCTGAAGCTTAACACTGATTATGGTTTCAATTTCATCAATGCAATTCTGTTTTGGAAAAAAAGAAAAAGAAAAAAAAAACTAATTGTTTGTGTGTTCCACTCCTCCCCCAGATCCCTTCTCTCTGTACAGATCATTCTGTGGAAATTAATCCAGGTCAGCCTCTCTCTGCCCACATTTACTCTTAGGCAACATTGTCCTGACCACCTTAAAGCAAAAGTATAATTTGGGGAAAATATAATCCTTTGCCTTGGTGGAAATTTTCTATTTAGGTCAGCTGCTGCATAAGAGCCCTAAAGTCTAGCTGAGGAAGCTATTTCTCTAGGGTCTGAGACATTTTAAAATTTGAGACCTCTTCATACTTTCAGCAAAGAAAAATAAGAAAAATAGCTCCAGAATAATAACTCCTTGTTTTCATATTGTTACTTAGAGTTTAAAAGACTTTCTATATACTTGATCAAATTTATTATGCAAAGTAGCCATTACCTACTAAAGAACTAAAAACCCTGTGCAGGTTTAAGTTAAAAGAAGGAAAGCCAGGTCTTAGGAGTGAGAGAAGCAGTCTCTCTTGTGGCTGTGCTATGCTGTGGGTCCCTATCCTTACGCCCCTAGCAGACCCATGAAGCACTGTTCAAAGGACCTTCACAGATAGCGGAATATTGGGTAGAGAGCGGAAGAGGTCACCTGTAACCCCTGTTTCACCAGTCCTATGGTTTGGAAGCATTCCCCATAAACCCACATGTTAAAGGCTTGCTCCCCAACCTATGAGAAGTGGGACCTAGTGGAAGGAAGTTATGTCTTTGGGGTGTGTCCTGAAGAGGATACTGGCAGCCTGGCTGCTTTCTTTTTTTTTTTCTTTCTCACTGTTAACAAACCACCATGAGGCAGACAGGCAGCCTCTCCCCTGTGGCCCTCTGTGACATACTGTGCCTCCACAGGCCCAGAGCAACAGGGCCAAGTGACCCTGGACTGAAATGTTGGAAACTGAGCCAAAATAAACCTTTCCCTCCTTTTAATTTGATCACGTAGGTATTTTGTCACAGTGGTAGCTTCCAAAGTTTCTATTTGGAATTCTCTTAAGTAGAGTTGTGCTCTCAGTCCATCTACACCCCCAGGGTACTTGGATCCTTTGCCTTGGCCCTAGTCAGCTCCCTTAGGCACTACATGAAATCCTGAGAATGCTTCGCAGGTCTGCTCTCATGCTTCCACGAGATGACACACATTTCTTGAGCACCAACCTTGTATCAGCCACTGGAATATGCAGGTGGATGTGGGAGGCAATAAGACATCATTTCTTCTGTTGTCAGGAAGCTCAGTTTAAAGAAGGATTCACACTCACAAAAAAAATTCTAATGCATTCTGGAGAAAGTTTTAGAAGCGCTGCTGTAGACACTAGGTCCCTTCTATACTGGGGGAAAATGGGAGCCAACTTATAGCACTTCTAGTTTTTGTCTCCTTTCCCTGTGCTCTTAAATGTGTCCTTTCTTCAGTGCTAGGCACTGTTGCAGGTAGTGAGCAAACAAAAGAGACAAGGCAGCTCATCTCCTGGCTTCTTTTTCTCTTATTAGATCCAAAGAGGTACCCTTTCCTGCTGCAAGTTAACCTCTTCTGTGGCTGTGGGTCTCAATCCCTCTCATCTCTTTAGGAAGCCCCTGCTACCAATTATCTTCTTTCCTTCCTAAACACTGAGCCTCTCCTCCTCTTCCTTCCTAAACGGCATCAGGCCTAACTTAAATCTAAAACACACAGTAATACTCATAATGCTGTCTTCCTCCAGCCCCACGTGAAGTGCCTCTTTTCCTCCATAGCCATCTCCCTTTTGTGAAAAACAAACCAATGAAATAAGTAGTGACTTTACTTTGCCATAAAAGAATGCATGGTTATTGAAGAAATGCAGGCAATAGATGTTCAAAGAGAAAATAAGAAGCAGCTGTACTCCCACCAAGATCATAACTGTCAGTGATTCTTACACACAGAAACATTCTCCACACTTAGTACCTTCAACTGCAAGCTTTTTGAACTTAAAAAGCTTACAACTTTAAAAATACCTTGTTTCACTAGAAATTCCTTGAAACCATGATTCTTACTGGCATTTCACCATTATATAAGTACCTACAGTTACTTAAATAATCCTCTGTTGTCACCTCTTAGGGAACTACCTAATACTTTGTTCTTGGGAATAGCACTTCACAAAACATTTCTGATTCCTTTTCCTGGAAATAAATTATGAGAACTGTAGGTTACGGACATACTTAACACTCTAGTCTTAGATAATCATATTAACCTCTAAGACTATCGTACCAATTTTTTTCTGAAAAAATTTATTTTACGTCATTCTTGACCAAAATGTGTTATAATTAAGGCGAGAAATCCCCTGACCAATTCCATGGGTTAAACAATGGAATCGCTTCATTTAGATTTGCAATTAATTTTTAACATACTTTTAAGTGTTTATGCTTTTAAGGTGCTTAATGGCAATTTGTATTTCACTGTTTTATGAAATCTCCTTCCTATCCTTGGCCCAAAGCCAGACACTTGAAAGAGTGCTTTCTCTTTTCCCTTGTCACTTCCTGCAGCATGGGCCCTGTCCTCACATCAAGTCCCCATTTATCTTCCTCAAAGGCGAAGTCCTGTTGGCTTTTCAGTAGCTGCATTAGTGGCCTTGTTAGGCTTTTAATTCCCCAAGAAATCATCGAGTTTCCAGCCTCTATGCCACTGTCCACACTAACCCTCTGCGAGCCAACCCTCCCTTTAGCTGCACAGTCCTTTCTCATTCCTGGAGATTTAACTGAAACATCTCTGCCAGCAGCCTTCACCTGGTCCCCCCACCTCTGGCTTATCCGAAGTGCCTTTCCCGCTTTTCACCCCACCACAAAAATTCAACAAAGCACTGTCCCATGCATATTTTCATCACTGCACTGTGACCGTTCTGTATTCAGTTCTCCTAATCCTACTAGACCGCCAGTTCCTTGTCAGTAGGGAACTTTCCTCATTCACCTTTGACTGCACAGTGCCGGATGCAAGGCAATAACACCGACCGGACATCTATGGCAGCGCTCGGCCTTGGTAATTATTTCCTCCAATGGTGTCTTTTCCTTTGCGTCTCGCCACTCAGCCCTGTTTCTTTATTTCATCCTGATTCCCCTTTTGATCGGCCTTTGATGTTGTTGTTCCCAAGGGTTCTATCCTTGTACTTCTTTTCTTCTAAATCTCATGGATCAAAATCATATCTATAACTTTATTTATTTTTTATACGCATGAGTTATAAGTATATTTTATTTATTTTTTCCCCTTATTGAGTTTATTGGTACATTTTAGGTATACAGTACAGTTATATTCATCATTGGGATCTTGTATCTTTACATGACAGGTCTTGGTTCTCATTTTTTCCCCTTAGCCCTGCCCTCCCTTCATATCTATAACTTTAAATAAGCCACCAACACCCCAATCTCTTTCCCAAACCACAAAGCAGGTATTTCAACTTTCTTTTGAATATTTCCACTTGGAAGTTTCCCTGGCTTCTCAAAAATCACCATGGTGAACACTGAACTCATTTGCTTTTCTCTATAATGGGCTCCTTCTCCTCTACTCCTCATGAATGAATAATGCCATTTGTTGAGTCAAAAATCCAGCAAAAGGTACACCCTTCCCCTTTCCGGTATCTAATTGCTTATTCGTCCTGTAGGTTTCACTTTTCTCCATTTCTGTTGCTCTGTCCAACTTTCCTCTGTTAATGTTTCATGGTTGACAAGGAGGGACGTTGTCTTCCTGTTAACCTTAGGCCCAGGCTGTTTATTTTCCATCAATCCTCTGCACTGCTACGACAGCCAGATTGTTAAAATGTAGATCCTATTCTAGGTTTTACCTTCTGTGGAGTCCTAGGAAAGCAGCTGAAGGCTAGACTGTTGTCTTCACAAAGATCTTCAAGAATGGGTTCCTTCTCTTTGAAGAAGTCATTTCCCACAAGTGCTTAGGCTTTCAGCCTCTTCTATATGCTGCTACTAACCTGAGTACAAACAAGTGCCTTCTCTTGTCCCCACACCTTTGTCTTATACCTTCTGCCCATAACTTCTTCCTCTCTTCTGTTTGCTTACTGAACTCCTGGTCACCCTTCAATTTCCTCATGTTGGAGAAGCCTTCAGGGGCTCTGCTTGAGTCTCCTGCGCTCTCCGTAATGCAGCCTTAATGCAAGTCTTCCCAGCCAGGCAGGACCACTTTGAGACAGTGCTGTGTCTGAGTCATTCATCCACCTCAGAGGGACCTTGTAAGTGATCAGTGGTGATTCATGACACAAACTGGAACTTACACATTATCATGCCGTCACGGCCAAATGCTGAAAAGCCTTGACATTGTCTCCATATTCTCACCTTCCCCTTTCTTTCCATGTTGTGCTTGTGCTTCCCTAACTATTTCATTAACACTGTGTGGCAAAAGTCACTGATAATCTTTTAAGTAACAAACTCAAAAACTCTTTAGTTTTCATTTACTTGTCCTCTTCCCAGCATTTGATTGTATGAGCAAAACATCTCCTCCCTTGACTTTCGAGATGCTATAGCTTGGACTCTCCCTTAGTCTCTGTCTCTTCATAAGTTCTTGTTCTGGCTTCTTGTCTCCAGCTTACCCTTTAAGCAACAGCATCCTTAACTCTTTCCCTGGTTTACACATATTGCCTGGCTGTTCTGTCCCTCCTACGGCTTCATCTACTGACAATATGTTGAGAATCCTATACCTGTGTCATCCTCCAGACTAACAGTAAGTCCTACAGGCACCTAAAATACAAACTGGATTAAAAAAATGAAACTATCATTTGCCCCTAGGATTGCTCCTTTCACTGTATTCCCCTCTATTAGTACTCATCTAACCACCTGAGCAGAGATATCTTCCAATCAACACTTATACGCAGTGGGTTACCCTGTCCTGTGGATTTGACCTCCTGAACATCTCCTAAATACCTTCTTCTCTCTCTTTCCCTCTCCTTCCCTACTGTTTGTTACTTGCTTTGACCCTCATCCTTCCTTACCAGGTGCCAGTGTAGTGGTCTCCCTCCATGAGTCTCCAACCTTCTATTTGACTTTTAACATACAACACCTTAAGTTCCTCCCACAATGACAAACTGATTAGGTTTCATTCTCTGCTGATAGCAATGGCTTCCTCAGTCCTCCATGTTTAAAGTCATGCCTTTTCCTGTCTCTCTCCCAAAATGTTGCTCACGACTCCCTCTGGATTTTCTGTTCTCCTGTAGTCTGAAATTTCTTAATGCCATGCTTCTGTTCCTGTTGTTTTCTGGGCTTAGAATGACCTTCCTTTGCCAAAACTCAGCTCAAGAATCTCCTCCTATAGGCAGCTTTCCTAATTCTACTGCGTTTCTCTGGTGTCCTGTACAGGTGCCTCACACAGCTCTAAAGCTCTTGATTGGTCTGCCAGGCTACTGAGGGCAGGGGCCATATCTTTTTTGCCTTGGAGTGGCACAGTGCTGGCTTGACACGACACTTGATGAATGGAGCATTTGTCATTGCTGTGACTCCCTTGGAGAAGTGTGGGGCCATGTTCTTGGAGGATACACCTCTGGCCCCAGTGAGCTTAAATCCTCGAGCATGTGGCATCATATTAACATGTTAGCCTACTATTATTTTCCAGGGCACCAGGAGACAGACTCAGCAGTGCTTTGCTTACTTTCTATGGAATAAAGTGAGGCTCAGAATCCACAGAGAAGGGGTCTCTCAGAGCCCATCGAAGGTAGGATTTGAGATTCTCTACCTCCACCTAAAAACTATTTCCTACCACAGGGGTTGGGTGGGAACCTTGGTAGACACTGGCTTACCTTTCGGACTAGAAGATCCTTTGGGCATGTGGGTTGGACCTGCTCAGAACTTTCTTTTCCACAGCACTGAAACTAGAGAGCCAGAAAAGAGACTTTAGGACACAGGAGAGGGAAGCAACAGCTCCAAGTCTGGGCACTGCTGCTAAGGACTGGCAGAGCCAAGATGGCAAAGGAGATACAAAGTCTGGTCTCAGCAACCCAAACTGCTATTTCTGGAGAGAGAGTTAAGAGTCACATAATCATGCCCGCCAACCAAGAAAATTCCTAAAGCTGTCTGAGTTTTATGGCAGGAAGTGACTCAAGGCAACCCAAACAAGGCAAGAAACTAATTGACAGTGTCTGTTCAAATTGCTGCTTTTTAGACCGGAGTTGAGGCCTTCAGAGTCCTTCTTTCAGACCGGGAGACCATGTAACTTACTGAGGAGTTAACTTTTTATGACCTTTGGAAAGGTCTCATTAACTAGGGTACTGTCTGGGAAGGAGAGAAATGGCCACAGTAAATCCCAGGAGCTGAAAGACCAAGATGGCGGGCTGGCTAGCACACAGGTGTGTCGCCCCAGGGTCAGCCCCTTGAGACAAAGGAATCTGTGCGCTGCTTCAGGTCTCTGCAACACTTTCCAAGACATTCCTATCACAGAGAAAAACAAGTTACCTGAAAACATTTGGCCCAGCAGCTTGCAGCTGCTTCTCCATGTCAGTATTTAAGAAACCAGAGCAACTCTAGTCTGATCCATCTCTTTGGTAAACTAGAAAGAAGCTTTTCTGACTTGAAGCCCTGCTTGCTCCTGTCATACCCACAGTGGCGCCCTTTGAGAGAACCTGACACTTCTTTGAGCTGCTTTCTCTGTGCTCTTGTTCACACTCTTTTGTCTGTTGTGGGCACACACCCTGACTTCCTCTTGTGAACTCCATTGGTAGGTCTCTTTCTCATCATGGGTTTTGTACTGAACAAAAACTGTAGCTCTCACAATGGCTAAAATAGGGGGTTGCTGTGTGTCTTTACTGAAGTTATTTTTATTTTTAATCCAGCTGATCAGAGAGAACCTGCTTCATGGCTGACCTTTAGAAGATGGAACGTCAAGGAAGAAGTCAAAATTACTCACTGCTGAGTGGAAAGTAACGAGAGTCCCATTTCCCTTTCCTTGGTCTTTAAGGTAATCATTGTAAGCCTCTTCATACATGGTCTGTACATGTCTTATAGCCTGCAAATATACCAGGGAAAGCGAGAGCACAGTGAGTGGGAAGTTTCAAATGTTCTCTTCCCAAACGAAGCAAAATCCTTTCTTCCATAGCCTTCATATGCCTGTCCATACACTTGTCTGTATTTTAAGATGATTCTAAACATATAGAGCAGAGCGTAGATTTCTAAGATGCTTCTGGTATGGAAGGATAAACTAACCAAGAATACTTTTCATTGACTAGAAAGGCTTTTTAGAGAGTGGAGGTTTCCAAACCTCATAAGGTTTCAGTATCAACTGGACCAGAGATTCCTCAGCTCCAACCAGGAGATTCTGATGCGGAGCCAGAGTCGGGACCTTGGTAGCCAGGGTACTCCACTGGGTAAAAGCATTTAAGTCTCTTCAGGACATGGTTCAACAGTTGTTCATTACGAATGACAATATCCTGAATTTAAATACCATAAGAAGCTTAGAGAATGCTTTCTCCAGTATAAAGGCCTATGACCCCAAATCCACAGAAATTTCAGAAGGTCCTAAGATCTAGCTTCACTTCTGCATGGAGCAGAATTTAAACTAACCTATGAATATAACCAGCTACTTTAGAAAAAAAATTCAATGAAGCAGCATTTACTTATTTTGCATGTACTGTTTTGATAAGCTTACACTGGTACTGGTGGCACAGAAATTAATCTGAAATATAATACACTTAAGGTTCCATTCTTCCTTTTCCTTTCCATTCCTCTGTGTGTCTCTGCTCTTAAAAGGCCACTTCCTCTGCGGGTTCTCCTGATAATCTACTCTGGATGCCCAGAGTTGGACAGCAATCTAAACTGGCTTCATCAGCACACGGTGGGCCAGGCCCGCGTCATTCAGGCCAAGTCTCATGGACAGTCTGACAAGAAATGACAATGTATGTTTTCTCCCCATGCCTCTTTCTTATGTCTGTATTCCTGCCTCATTTTTAAGTGGGGATAATCTCAAATTAAGAGTTCCTTCTAAAGAATCATAGACCACTTTATAAATCTATGAATGCTGTGAACTTATTTCCTGGGAACATGTGTGCATATATATTCACACACACTTGTGCACATATATGCTTTGTTCTGTACACTACCTCTAGGTTAAAAATTCTGCTTACACTATAATGTGGAGAGGAGGCTATTTAATTTCTTAGTAACATTATGGGTATCAATATCTTCATATCTTTTGTCATAAAGAGAACACTAATTATCATCTTAAAAAATAAGTGATTTTTACTTACTACACTCTTGCCTATAAAAGCAAATACGCCAGTGGTCACTTCAGCAGCAAATATCACCAGTAGGCAGGTAAAAAACTGAAGGGGAGAGAAAATACTAATTTCATTAATTTAATACCTTTTCAATTTACTTAGCTTTTAGGAATCTCGTCCCACTGGAAAGGCAGGAGGCAGGGTTATGAGTTGGAACTGATTGATCTAACAGGAAACATTTGCTCCCTTCGTTTCCCTTATGCAACAGGTGAGTTACTTTCATGTAGCTCCCGCACTCAGCTATGGGTTGTTGAGTGTCTGTTTGGCACCAGGTACCAACCTTGGCAGTAGTTAACAAGATCTCAGGGGACCTCAGTTGGACGGGGGAAGACATAACAAATGAGTAAAGGATTAAAAATGTGAATAAGAGAATTTCACATAATGATATAGAAGTCCCACTACCTAGGACAGTGCCCAGAACTTATCCGTAAATGCTCGATAAGCATAACAGGATCTGTAAAGAGATAAAATAAGGTCAGAAGATGAAGTCACTAATAGGGCCTTGAGGGAGTGTAACAGGTTCCTCGTGTTCCCAAAGGCTTCCCTGAAGAGAAGGCATGGAGGTGAATGTGTGAGGGATGTTTCTGGACAGGTTTGTTGGTTTTGTTTTGTTTTTTGTTTTTTTTTTTCAGGTCTTGGGTTTGCTCTGATCACACTAAGTTAAGTGATGAGCAAGACAGAGATACTCAGCGGGAGGAGAAAGAGAATGAACGGATAAAGAAACAAATGAGACATTTTACACAGCGAGAGATCAGAAGCAACACAGCATCAAAAGTCCAGAGACTGCAAAGAGAAATGAGAGGCTGTCTAATAACATGCTGTTTCAGTCCTCAAAGAAAAATGCAAAAACTTTCCCTCTTCCCAACCTTGTTCTTCCTGATTGTTTCTCTTAGGCTACATTGTCATTGGCTGTACAGAAGTTAACTGAAACTTTGATTTTTTTTTTTCTTTTTTAAACAGAGGCTTCTGTTGAAATAAGCCACCAGAGGGATGTTTGGTTAAGTTACTCATCTTAACCTGAAATGCTTTCCTTGTTGATAATAGCTCCTCCCTGGCTGTAGGAATCCTTTAGCTACCTCCCCCACAGTGAATTATTATTTTTTAAAGAACAATCATATTCACCTCTTACAACTGCTAGGCACTTTTCCTTCCCAAACATCTTTACACTAATGACCTCATTTCCCCCCCCAAACTTTCCACATGAGGCAGGGACTAAGATAACATGATTCTTATGCAGAGATGGAGAAACCTGAGAGTTGGGGTGAAGGAGGGGGTACCACGGGCTGTGGAGAGTCCTGGATGGAGGAGCTGGCCCCACCCACCCCACTCCGCTATCCTACTTACTGATCCGAGCACGCACTGTGACTCCCGCATGGCTCCGCAGCACCCGAAGAACCCCACAGCCATCATTAGGGCCCCAGCTCCAACCAGCACATAGAGTCCTGTGGGCAAGAGGTCTCACTGAGCAAAGCACCCGCTCTCTCTGTCCCCCCAGGGCCAGGGCACTGTTTCCCACCCATGACTGGACTCCAGATTCTGGGCACTACAAAGTGTCTGGCTGTCAGCCCTGTGATGGGTAACACTTGCCGAGTGCTTGCTGAGCACTTCATAAACTGTTTCTCGAAACCTATGCAATGATTCTACAATGAGGGCTTCTAGTAGCCCAGTGAACACAGAAGGGGGCCAGAAGCTTAAGGAGATGAAGGGTACTGCTTGAGGGCACAAGGCCAGCAAGGGGGGACACCACATCTGCTGGTCTTCCCGAGCTGGTGCACTCAGATGTCACCACCGTCTCCTGTGTGCCAGGCCCCGGGTCTCAGGTTTCTATCGTCTGCATCATCTGCCTGAGACTGAGGACACAGGCACTAGGGGGCTGCGGGAGGTGAGACACAAACCCAGGACTTTCTCCTGAGCCCAGGGGCCTCTTGCATTTTGGACTTGACAGTCTTCATCTATGACAGGCCTCAGGCCAAGTGTTTGGGAGGGAGGAGAAGTTGCCCAGGCACAGAAGGAGAGGCTTCTGGGACTTGGGAATTTGGGCTAAAGACGGGAACAGAGGATAAGGCAATAAGACACTTGTTGTGTGTATTTTCCCCTTCAGGGAACAGCAGCATAGACACTGGACCCATAGGAGGTTGTGTCACAAGAAACTATCCAATGAGGGCAAGTAATATACATCAACATCATTAGCACCGTGCTCTAACCAACTAAACTAACCAGTGCCGAACAATCTTATTATGAATAAAATATTAGCTACATGCATTGAAGGTCTCATTTTTTTCAGGCATAATAAATCCATGTAGAGTAGATTTATCAATGTAACTTTCATAGAAGCCCTATGCAGTATGTGTCATTCTTACCATTTAGACAGGGGAACTGGGCCCCCAAAGGCAAAGCAATTTGTCCAAGGTCGCAGAGCTGGTGATTTGCAGAGCTGGCTTCTTGCCATCATCCCACCCTGCCTCTCTAGCAACAACACAGCCTTAATTCGGCTGGTGACTTCACTTCCTACCTAAGTCACGCCAGAGCAGTTCTCACAGAGAAAGAAAAGGGCAGAAACGCTCTGGTTTGGGGAGACTCCAGCCAGGCCTTCCCTGATTTCCTTCTCTGATGCTGAGATAAGGTGGAACACAATGTGAGACCTGGCACTTGGCTTACTCGCAACAAGCTCACAGTCTCTGTTTCATTTTTGCGCATTTTACTCAGATGAGTCACCTGGAAACCACTCCCATTCACAAGAGGCGGGGGCGGGTGTCCTGCTTCTGTGGGGAACCCCCAGGCCTGCATTCAGGTGCTTCCTGGGCTCCTTGGGGTGGCTAGCGGCGGTTTGTGGGCAGCCTCTCAGCTCACAGACATAAACGGAGTCACAGGCGAGGCTGCTCTCTTTCCTGTGCTGCCCCACCCCGGCCCAGCCACTCTGTCAGCTCTTCTTAGGCCCACCGAGGTGCTTGTTCTGCTGTTCGGAGGGAGGGAGGCGTGTACTTCCTCCCATCCCATTTTCTCTACAGTGGAATTTAATGGAGGAATGGATGTGGTCACAAGAGAAATGATGCCATATTAAAAATAATAGTACTGGTGGCCCCACTGCCTGAATACCTTATTGTTTTTCATAATGTCTTTTCAAAACTCTTGAACTTCTATCTTTTCATTGGCTCCTCAAAACAACCCAGGGAGCAGGTGTTTGTTGAGTAAAGAGGGGTCAGAGAGGCAAGATGGCTGGCAGCCCGGAGCCCTGATTCTCACCCCACACTCCTCACAGTAACAGGGTGGATGGAGGGCCGCAGCAGCAACCATTCTGTTTTTAGTTCCTTCCAAGCATGTCTCCTGGGTGGACCAGCACAGCGTATTGATTTCCTGCTTAAACAGTTCATTGCCTCCCCACTACCCCTGCTACGACTGCTGCATGATATACTCACAGCCCAGGGACCAGCCCCCTGAACCCTCATGCATCCTACACTCCAGCCACATGGGTATTACTATGATTTGACTGTTATGGTTTGTGTCTAGAAGTCCCCACAAAGCCCCATGTGGTCACAGGTGGGGCTTTTCCAGAGTGGCTGAATCTAGAACATGTGATGCTGAGATTAAGGGTGTGTGATGGCTGAATCAGTCCACTGGTTTGGCATCACCCAAATCTCGGTAGCCTAGATAGAGTATAAAAGGAGTAGAAAGAAGCTGCTAAAGTCCCTTGCTGGCTTTGCTACCTTCTTGCCAACGTGAACTGTTTCTCCTCCGTGATGTCCGTCTGCCGTGCCACCCTGCCTCGGAGCCAGCTGACTATAGAATGAAACCTCTACAGGCTGTGAGCCAAATGATCCTTTATTTCTTTTACCTTTGGTGTTGGGTATTTTGTCTCAGCAATAAGAAAAGTAACTAAGACACTGACCATGTCCTGATCTTTTTGATTTGTGTTTCTGCTGGTTCCCACGATGTCTTTCTGTAGATTTCAAGAGCACAAACAAACCTTATTTATCCTCCCTAGAACATGCCAGCACAGGTAGAATTCTCAATCTGTGTTTGTTGTTGGCCAAAGAGAGTAAGTTAAATTAGAATTTCTTGACTGGCTGCTTAATTACCTATCTTTGCTCAGAGATACATGGTGGGAACCTGTGTCAGCAAATATCTATGAAGCCACTTAGGGGTGGGTTCTCTAAGGTCAAGCAAATGAGGATGGGACCTCCACATCCTAAGAAGTTCTGGAATATAAGAAAAGAAGAGTGTCCTGAAGAAGGCTGGGGCTCAGTGGGCACATGGCCAGTAGGGCAGAGGTTCTCTAACAGGGTAAAGAAGCTTGGTCTCTCGGGCAACAATCCTTATCCTTCTGAAACAGTCAACTCTCCAAGAAAATACGCATACTTGAACAATATTCCACGCCCAGGTGGCCAGAATCGCAGAGCTCGTGGCAAAAACAACCTGAAACTGCCCTAGCAGTGCCACTCCCATGGCTTCTTCCCAGCAAGCCTCTGTTCACCTCAGAGTACACCACGGCGGCTCCCATTCCCGATGAGCACAGCTGGTGGAGCTGGAGGGAAATCTGAACTCTGCAGGTGATAAAATTCCTTGGGCCTGCTGAACCCTGTTCCGAATCTGGTTGTAATACTCTGTACTATATAAGGCCATCTGTGGCTTCCACGGATACCTTATCCTTTACATGGTCTCCCTCTATGCAAAAAACACCTGCTGAATGAATAAATAATTTGCAGCCACATTTTAATTCAAAGATGGTTTCTTTAGAGCCCGCCTCCCACAACAGCATGCGTGACAGACATGCGACCTATTTCCCAAATCCCTCATGCTTTCCAAGTCCTATTTCCCTTGATTTGAAGAGAGAAAACTTTGAAATTGTATTTTTAACCTTAATTAGTTGGGCTCTGTAATGCCAGTGATCTCTGGTGACACGTTACCAACAAGAGAGAACTTTCACCAGGACACCTTCTTCCCTGATGATTCCACCCTTCTTTCTCAGACTTCAGATACTCCATTTAAAGTCAGTAGCACCATTTAAGTTGACGAAGAAATGAGAGGGCTTCTTAAAGGTCTGTTGGCACAAACTCATTTTAAAATGGCTTCCTGTTACAGGGTCTGGATATTGTCACGGTCATCGACCTCAGTAACTTTTGGTAGCAAAAGATTTTATGTGACCCGCTAGTCACCATTTTCAACTACAATGTTTATGCTTCTGCATAAAAGACTCTCCTTCCCCTCTCCCCCTAAATACATATCATTACAGTCCAGCCCTTGTATATACACGGGGGATCAGTTCTAGGAACGCCTCCCCCAAATAAAATTAGTGGACACTCAAGTTTCTTCTGTAAAATGATGCAGTTTTTGCATAAACCTATACAATCCTTTCATGCCCTTTAATTCACCTCCAGATTCCTTATAATACCAAATAAAATGTAAGTGCTATGTACATTGTTGTTATACCATTTTGTTTAGCGAATCATGCCAAGGAAAAAAAATCTGTGTTCCGTATGGATGCATGTTTTGGAATATTTTAAATCTGTGGCTCATTGAATCTATAAATGTGGAGTCCCTGGGCCGAGGGGGCCAACTGTATGTAGATGTCTATTTTAGTATATGTGCTGCTGAAGCGAGCAGTAAATATCCAGAATATTAGCTGGGACTTGGTTCAGGGACTCCGAAATTGACAGGGAGAGACTTGATGCTCTGTTGGCAACAGCAGCAGCTGTCAGCTACTGAGTCCTGTTCTCAGCACTTCACTGGTCAGTCATCTAATCACCCAGCAGTCTTGGAAGTAGGCGGTGTTTCCTGGTGGCTCAGCCTGGGTGGCACCTGTACTATGCCTTTGACAGATACTACCTGAAGGTTCAGGGCTATAAACTAGTCTGTAATTCTGGCTGAATGTCATGTAGACCACTCTGTCTCTTCTTCCTGAATTCTCCCACAGCCACGCCCTAACACACCCACTTCCTCAGCAGGGCCCCACGACAGTCACAGCGACCGCCAGCGTCTCCCGAGGGCCCACCTCCCGCGGGCACTGCACTAATGCACCTTCACTTTTCACAGCTCAGGAACCTGAGACACAGAGAGCGCTTCACCTACGATTGCCCAGCTACCCAGGGAGTTAGGCACAACTAGACTCCTTCAACTCAAAGTAAACTTTTGGGAGGGGCTCAGAACAGTGACTCTCTTAGCTAGAAATCTGCTTGTTTATGAATGGAAGGAGGGTTCTTCATTGTCTTCTTAAGAGAGTGCTTGAGGAATGTAGAGCTGATGATTCCTGGTCTTCCTCTCAAAATACAGGGCTGGGAGCCAGAAATCAAGGTGCGCTGACCTCAACTACATGAAACTCCTCTCATTCTTCAGTGCTGCTATCTGCAATATAGAACCAAGTAGCAACTGATTTTTCATACAAAACTTTGGAGAAATGGTCTTGACACCTCTCTGTTATCCAGCTAACAGGGCTGTCAGGTACAAC